TAAGCTTCGCCCCGCCTGCATTTTGCAAATAGTCCATCAATGGTTTCCATTCTTTAAGGTACCCTACATACCAACTTTCAAGCTGCAAACTTCAGCCGATACAAACAAGATGGACCCAGAAGTTGGGCCAGAAGCCGGGAGAAAGCTAGTTAGTTAGTTAGATGGCAAACTAACCCTTTCCCGCCATCTCCTGACTTCCAGTTCCGATTTCCGATCCGGACTTCTCACATGGTCAGTTGTGTTTGGTGTGGGGCGACTGCAAATTGCAGACTGCAAATGTCTGCAATTAAGTGCAAGAGTCCTGAAGGGGAGGGGGGTAGTGTGAAGAAGCAGCAATCCATTGCGATGCTCATGAAGATGGAGATATTGAAGAAAAGAGAGTTCCAAACCAAGCTGATGGCAGAGGGGTTCAGCTTAATTGAGGAAGCGCTATCACTGTTTGAGATGCAGGACCCTAATGTGTCTGCAGCTGCCCATGATGCAATCCAGCGCTACAGCGTCATTTATGAGAAGAGGAAGACCATCACCCAAAGTTACTGGACCACTTCTTCAGGAAGGTAGAAGTACAGAGGACGAGCCTATGCCATCTCAGCAAGCACCTATCTCAACGCTGCCGCTTATGTAAGATGCGAACACACGGTTCTTTTGCCTGTTGGACTTACGAACAGCCTCTCAGAACGTACCTGTTCGTAAGTACGGGACTGTCTGTACATATTATTAATTTGGGAGGGAATAATCCCCATCAAAACATGATATGGTCAATCACATATCAGCCCCACTAGGTAGACCAGACCAGAACATCAATTCTACAGGAAGACTAGAAACACCCTTTATTGAGATTCTAATAACAGAATCTTGCAAGCCTGACTGTGCTGTACCGCCCTTCCTTTTTGTACCCCAGTGAATCAGGGAGGCTTTTGCCTGAATCACTTCTGAATATTATCTTCTTCCCAGAACTTAAAGGATGTTTGAGCCCTCTTTGCCTAGGTAATGGTTCTTGTGTATTTCTGTCGAACATGTCTCCCTTACTCTCTACAACACATTTTACGCTCATAGGACAAAAAATGGACACAATCTGCTGTAGGACAAGTTTTCGCTCATCAGACACAAAAATCAGCTGTTGCACTTTTTATTATTAAAATAACAAAAAGATTCCAGACTTCAAGTGACCTTGATATTTCAGTTTTATTACAGTGGTGTACCTGGATACTCAAGGACATCACTTTCCTTCCCTCTCAAAAACATCCTAACAAAAACAGTTTCATATAAAACCAGTTCTTCAAGCAGAAAACAGAGCCATTTGTCAAGGATGCTTTAATTTGGATCCTTTTATTAAGCAGGAGTTGGACTTGGTGGCAATTTTCACCTTGAGAATTCTATCAAAGCAGCAATTTAGTCTGCGCAGAAATTTTATTCTGTCCTGATGCCCCTCCCCTGTTATCTGAACTTAAATCATCCTTGAAGAATTCCTTTTAGCCCCAAAGCAGCAAAAATACAAGGATTTCCATGATCACATCTTTCAAGGAAAGCAAGAAACATAAAATGCATTTGAATAGTGTTATAAATGTTACTTTGGGAACAGGAAAAGATTTGGAAAGGAACCAGTGTCACAATTCCTAAAATTTTTTGGTTGCAGATACAGAAAATGCAATTAAGACATTCAAAGCAAACCAAATAAAAGAGGAGAAATGATATTTTACACTCTTCTATTTTTCCGCAATAGAGAATATCAGTCTAATTCTTTGTCTCAAGCATCATCTGTCTCCCCTAGTTTATAGGTGTGAGAACAGAACCTATATAATAATATAATTTATTAAAGAATTGCAGTTTTCAATTTATTTTTCAACTATTTCAAATCTTCCTGGAGAAAATCTGTATACATGGTTGCTTAGAGTCAACATCAACTAGATGACAAAAAATCTTTCATAATCAATTTCAAATCTAAGGCTTAGTTCCTAGGTTGAACTAGCAGAGATGATCCTGAAAGCATTAATACTTTGTACCATTGATGGAGGATGCACGGCTTCATATTTAGTATGTAATAGAATAAATTCCAGGCTAGCACACAGAACCTGGAAATTTATTTTTCTGGGAGGGAATTGTTTAGCAAAGTTATTCCGCTGCCCAGAGCCCAAAATGATATGGAAAGCAGGCCTATGTAACTCTTAGAAGATGGTTAAAAGTACACACATACTGTACAACAGGGTTTGTTTTAGAAATAAGAACTATACGTACAATAATCTGTCATTATTTAAACATTCCCTGATTTATTATGGTTTATAAATACCTAACATTGTTATGAAAGGGAAATCAATTGTGATAAATATTTTATTTTGCAGTCCCAGAAAAGCTTCTTTAATTTGGGAAGTTCATCCTGGGACATTTTTTATGGTAATTGCTAATGGAAAATACAAAATCCTGCAGTTTTATTTGTAATGCTACATGCAAGCAAGCAGGAGATCACTGTAGCTGTGTTGTAATACGATTTAAGAACTTCTATAACAATCATTGTATTGATTTAAAATGTTGGTCTGTACCACACACTGTGAACCAGATAAATGTAAACACATTTAAATCCCATCAATTTGCTATGGCAGAATTTTATGCAGATGATTACATCTGCAGTAAAAGGAATAGGAAACTCCATTTTAACTCTGGCTCAGGCCAAATTAATTTCAGCAGCATACCTCAAAAGCAAACTGAATTTCAGATTCTTGCTTTCTAGGCCTTGTTGTAACCTCAAAAGTCCCACTGTAGGTAAGTCTCAAGCAAATGTTTCAGTAAGAAGATCTTGCTGCTGCTTCTGATGCAGAACTCCAATGCCTACGGCAGGAGCTGGTAAGGCTGGTCGACTTACAAGATTGAGCTGTGATAAAGCCAGAGAGGCAGCATTAGAGACTGGCCTTTTGTCAACTGGGACTGAAAGGATGCTAATGATTCAGGTTGCAATTCTGCAGCCCGGCTACTCAGATCACACTCTAAGCAGCCAATGAGACACGCATCATAATTCTGACGTTTGCAGGTTTAGTCATATCACAGCATCTGAATATCTCTTCCAAGACCCTCAAGCTACAGTTGGTGCAAAACATCAACTTTATAGTTGCATTGCCTGTAATGCAGAAGTGATCCCCTGTTTTCAGGTTCTCTGACTCTTGAGTAGCTGTGCATGGAACAGCACAACAGCCAAACTGAGTGCAGGATTGCAACACTGTACTGTAAAAAAAAGCTTATATAAAGTTAATAAGATACACCTTTCTTTTACTTTCCGCTTTGTCTTGGTTCAGGACATTCCTAAGGAGGAACAAGATTATAATAGAATGGTCCTCTCCTCAAATTTTTAAGTCAGTCTTTTTCTATCAGTGCCCAAACACTGGTCTAAAGGCCAGTGGAACCTTTCCATCTCTTTCAGAGTTAGAAATCTCTTTTAATGGAACCAAAATTCTCCAAGCTTTCTATATACTGTATTGCATAAAAAACCTAGGAACTACGCTAATGGGAGCTTACTCACATTTATCACAGTTCTTGGACCAATGTTAGTTTAATTAAGTAACTAAGACTAGATACAAGTCCTAGACATGCCTATAGATATTACACTAATCTGAACTCATTATTGTGTCTTCCATCTTATTCCCATCAAGGAATCTGAGGCAGTATAACGGAGGACATCTCCCAAACTAGAGGTCAACATCTTTAAGTTTCCACAAAAGCATAGAGCCGTATGCCTTCATATCACTGACTTCTCATGCCTATGTTCCAGTGACTTCTCACTTCCTGACAATTTCAACAAATCCTGGAATTTTACCTTACAAGCCAGTTGCTTTTCAAATCTTGGTGCCACAAATGTCCACGGGCCCATGTTCTGAGGTTCTTCCTGACTCCAGATGAAAGCTGCATGATAAGAAAGGCATTGTGTAAGCTCCCTTCACTTGTTATGTCTAGTCCTCAACGGATCATGTTCTTCACCTTTTTGGTTTTTCAGTTATTAGCAGCAGGAAGTATTATTGTCCTTGTCCAAAATATGGACAAAGTGGGACATTGTCAATGTCTAAAGAAATCCTGTGGTTGGGCCCTCTTTGTTCTCTTCAGAAAGAGAGCATGGGCTAAAAATCTCAAAAAAAGAAAACTCCTTCTCTCTAAAACCAGGTTTTAACCAATTATTTTCCAAAAGCTAGAGCCCACCAACCTTTGGCATTAGTGAACTTATTCATCTCCTGCTGCAGAGCTTCAAGTGGGAAAGGACACAGTTCTTCTAATCTTAGAATTGCAATATTCTGTTTCTTTTCTTCAAGCAGCTCCCGGTGTTTGGCCAAAGTATAATAATGTTTCCCAGAACAGAAAACCACCTTGCTGACACTAGAGAGAAGGAAGAATGGAATAAGTTCGAACACATAGAGCCAAGGCAACAGGAATAATACAAACTTTAATTGTTCTGGAACCGTTCCTTAAAATGTATTAAATCTTGTTTCAGATGTTTGTTTCCTTACGTGCATCTCTCTCATCAATTATATTTGAACTAAAAGGAAAATCAGAATGGTACAGGGCCTAGCAAAGGTCTTTGCAAGATCCAGTGCCTTTCATCAAAATGATGACAGCAGGGTCATCTGTCATAATTCTGCTTTCATCATGTGTCCCCTCCTGCTCCCCCCATGGATGCTTCTGATGGCTAATGTTTGATATGACTGCAAATTCAACACACACACCTCTTTCATTCACAGTTTGCTGGAAGGCTTCGAGCAAGTCAGCGTATCTCAAGCTAACCTACCCCGCAGATTTTAAACCAGGAGATTAAACCCTGGAAGTGAAGCACAACCTAAATATGAGAAGTAACCAATGATTTTGCTTTTACGCTAAAAATCTAACCCTAATCCTAACCTAGCTGGCCTTTTGAGTTAAACTTACTCTCCGAATATGCCTTTTCCTAAGCTGCCTTGTCAAAGCCCCCAGGTGGCTTATGTCTCATACAAGTTATAAATGGTGCAGTAAAAACAACAGCAACGCATGGACATCAGCCACTTGAAAGCCAACCCCTGCTCTGATGGTTGCCTCTGGTTAAGGTACCCCCTTATGGTCTTCTCAGGCCTGGGAAAAAGGATGATAGTTTGGAAAACATTTCAGGTTCAGAACATCTGCATGTTCTTCCATTATCTAGCAAACAGATAGCTGGCTTGCCTGTTCATCAAAGGGCTGTTGCCAAGCTGTACTAGTTGCCTCTGGGGTTCCAGATGCGATTCTAGGTCCTCGTTATCACCTATAAAGCTTTTCATGGCATGGGGCCAGGGTATCTAAGAGATTGCCTGTCTCCCACGGTTTCTGCCCATTTGATAAGATCGGGGAGAATCAGTACACATTGGGTCCCTTCAGTCAAACAGCGCCATCTATTGGGACCCAGGAAATCTGCCTTCTTTCTCCTGGCACCTGCCCTCTGGAATGATATCCCCCCAGAGATCCACGTAGCTCCCACCCTGACAATGTTCCGGAAGTCTTTAAGAACATGGCTGTTCTCCTAGGCCTTGGGGTAAGGTGCTTGTGGAAGCCTGTAGGTGATGCTTTTGTAGAGGGAGTGTGGATGCTTGAGATTTTCTTTCATTGTTCTTGGCCTCTAAATCTCATAAATGCAAATCTCATAAATACAAGAACGACCAACAGCAAGATTGATGGAGTCAACTACAGCAGTGATGGGTGCACTTTTGGAAGACTTGAAAGACCAGGTTGGGAACCGAGCATCCTGGAGAAGGTCTATCTGTGTGGTCAGTAAGAGTCCACACCGACTTGATGGCACATAATCAGTTGGCTCTTTAATCCACACTGAATCTCTAATTCTTGCTCAGACTGTTCTTTATACTGTGTTATAAGGCAACCTGTTTTATTAAGTCAAATCTCCCGAAGGTCAAGCTTGACTCCTGTTGACTTCCTGCAGTTTTCATGGCAATAACACAGAAATGGATACTCACTGCCTTCTTCTGGGGTGGTTTTTGACTTCACAGTCTATAAAGCTGCAAGTTCAGCTTGATTCCTGGGGATTACATGGGGGCTACCATGCAGTTTTCTTAGCAAAAGACACAAATGCTTTGCCACTGTCTTCTTCCACTGATTTTCCACTGTAGTTTACATCCTGAGGTTTCCTAGTCGTCTCCCATCCAAATACAAAACCAGGCCTGATCTTGCTTAGTTTCAAGTCCAGACAGGATAAGCCAGGTGCTGCCAAGTGCTGAGACCACGTTTTATTATTTACTAGATTTATCTCTATTTTTGAAATAGTAAATACTACACACTTAAGGAACCAAGTTACCTTTTAGGATCCACTGCTGAATCACCAATGACGGGTCTGAAAGTTGCCCCTGGAGCCATTTCTAGTAAACTTGACACAGCAGTCTAGGAAATGGATAAGAGGGGAAAATATGCAGGTACAGTATTTTAAGAGTTTAGAAACAAACCCTGAAAATGCTAGCCAATTAAAACTGGTTTGCCAAACATTAATCTACCAAATTATGCATATGATGATGATTGTATATAATCATTATCATCCCATATTAGCTGGGATTTTAGTAGCTGTTTCCAAGTTGTCTACAGCCAGCCCTATCTGGCCGGC